ATTTAGAAAGGTGTTCTTCCACTTTTTTTCCCTATTTTGAGTCTATAATCCTGTTCCATTTCTCTTCAGTCACAGGAAGGCCTTGCCTTACCAGTGTTCGGGTGATGCCAGATGGGGCCAAGTGGGATGATGACTGCAATACCTGTCAGTGTCTGAATGGAAAGGTCACGTGCTCCAAGGTACGGCTTTGCTGTGGTTGGGATTGTGAATCCTCCAAAACAGGATGATAGACAACTTGAAGACAAAATGGAGGAATGTGGTGGGATACTCTTCGTGTCTGTCCTGTAACCAGTGGTTATTTATCAGCGTTTATTCTCTTCCAGGTTTGGTGTGGTCCTCGACCTTGTGTCCTACATGCCAAAGGCCATAACGAATGCCCAGCTGGACACGCTTGTGTTCCTGTCCGAGAAGACCACTGCTTTACTCACCCTTGTGCTGCGGTGGGTGAATGCTGGCCTTCAAACCAACAACCGGTGAAGACCAAATGCAATTCTGATTCTTACTACCAAGACAACTGTGCCAACATCACCTTCACCTTTAATAAAGAAATGATGGCACCAGTAAGTAGCAGAACATAAAAGAACAGCAAAAGCTGGCTTGGAGGCAATTCTACCTCCTCTTCCCTTGAGAACTCTTACTTCAGGGCAGAAACAGAAACGTAAGTCTACTATCTGTGTGTTCATGTGCATAAAAACCCCCAACACCTCTTTTGCATCCTCCAGGGACTTACCACAGAGCACATTTGCAGTGAATTGAGGAATCTGAATATTCTGAAGAATGTTTCTGTTGAATATTCCATCTATATTACCTGTGAGCCTTCGCACTTGGCAAATAATGAAATACATGTTGCTATTGTAAGTATTCCTGGAATATCTTTAAATGCCTTAATAGTTAATTGCTTGGCTATGTGTGCAACATGTGGATCTTGTAAAAATCCAATTCTTGGCTTTGTCAGCTCTTCTTGTGGTTTAGTTTCCATCCCAGTTCCCTGTAAGAACAGGGAAGAAATCCTGGTTACATGTGCATACCTGAAAGCTACATCTGGTGGCAACTGTAGTAGGGGTAGAAAAACATGTTTCTGTTTCATTCCCTTGAGAGCTGCTTTTGGGAGGTTTTTTGGCTCTTTTTTAAGGATGGGGACAGAAATTTTGCATTATGAGTTCCTGCCCCCAGCTCTTAGTTTGTTTCTGGTGTGCTTTTGAAGTATTCAAAGTGCCAAGAGCCGTAACTGATTGTGAAAGCTTTTAAATAGCAGCTTACCCATGCATCTGATCTGGCATTTGGTATTAATTGTATGGCTTCTTCTGTAGTCTGCAGAAGATATAGGGGAAGATGAAAACCCCATCAAAGACATCACAGATAAGATCATCGACCTTGTCAGTAAGCGCGATGGTAACAACACGCTCATCGCGGCAGTGGCGGAGGTCAGAGTACAGCGGCGACCAGTTAAAAACAAAACAGGTGAGCTTCTCCTCCAGACCCTCTGTATGTGCCATGGCCAGAGCAGCCTTTCACAGCGGGGGAAGCTTCCTCACCTTTTGGATTTGTAGCAAGTCTGAGACCCTCAGCCTCTGGCTCTGATAACGGGGAGCACAGTAAGGAGGCTTTGTGCTGGAGTCTTGCTACTTAAAAAACTGAGTTCTGAAATTGCTTTAACCCAGTGGCCTGACCTGTTGAAAGGACTGCTACTCCTCTGTGCATGTCAGTAAGGCAGAAAGCAGCAGCTGGCTGGCTCTGGAAGCCCTCGTGTCACAGTTAGACACTATCAGAGGTGTCTGCTTCTAGCTTTCCACAGAGTGCCAGGCACGTAACAGGCATCTTACCAATAGCCACCAGTGAGACAGGAGTGGTTGTAGCAGGAGCTGTTATGTGGGAGCCATGGCAGGTGATGTACTGATGCCTGCGTTACTCCCACCAGCGATGCCTGGCTCTGTGTGTACAAGGTGAACGTTTTCCATGAGGGCTACCAGGCAGCACTCTGAGTTCCAGACTTGGTTTAAACGCCATGTGTTCTAAGGGAGATCCTCCTGAGGTCTGGATCCCAGTGGAAAAATAAGGCTTAAACCCCAAGATGTGTTTTGTTTGCAGGAAGCCTGGCGGGGAGCGCTTGGTTCGTGGTGGGGTTAACGCTGTCCTGTCTCTTCCAGATTTCTTGGTGCCGTTGCTGAGCTCAGTGCTGACAGTAGCCTGGATCTGCTGCCTGGTGACTGTTTTCTATTGGTGCATTCGGAAGCGCCGAAAGCAGAGCAGCCACACTCACACAGCGTCTGACGACAACACTACCAACAACGTGAGGGAGCAGCTCAACCAGATCAAGAACCCCATTGAGAAACACGGAGCAAACACTGTCCCAATCAAAGACTACGAAAACAAAAACTCTAAAATCGCCAAAATAAGGACACACAACTCCGAGGTGGAGGAAGACGACATGGACAAACACCAGCAGAAGGCCCGCTTTGCCAAGCAGCCAGCGTACACTTTGGTAGACAGAGATGAAAAGCCCCCCAACAGCACCCCCACCAAACACCCGAACTGGACAAACAAACAGGACAACAGAGACTTGGAAAGTGCACAAAGCCTCAATCGGATGGAGTACATTGTATAGCAGACGGTGGGGTGCTGCCATGCAGGGCCTTTAAGTATCACTAGAAAGGCACTCAAGAGCTTGTAGTTCTTAAACTGTTGTGTAATATTTGAGTCTGAGGCTATTATTTACTTAGAATCCCTGTGTTAATTTAAGTTTTGACAAGCTGGCTTACACTGGCAATGATAGTTGCTGTGGTTGGCTGGAATACCAAGTGCTGCATTTCACATCTATGCAAAACTAGTCAAAAGTGCCCTCGCGGAAATTCAGCTGCAGCTGATGCATCACGGAAACGTTTCCCAAGGTATCACAGAGCCTTAACTACTCCTCCTTCCTCTTCATTTGTTATTTTTCTTTTTCCTGCCAGATTTATACAGTTCCTTTCGAATGAATACATTTTATTTATATTTATTGAATTTGAGGTTTTTGTATATTGGTTTTATGGTTGACGTACAACTAGTTCTGTATTTGAAAGTGCCTTTGCAGCTCGGAACCACAGCAACTATCACAAATAAGTTTATTATTTATTTTTTTATTGTATTTTTGTTGGGGGCGGGGTGGGGGGAACTTGTCAGCAGTTGCTGGTAAATGAAGAATTTAAAGAGGAAAATGTGTCAAAAATAGAAGTTTGTATAGATCTGTAAATAATTCTTTTTTTATTAATCACTGTGTATATTTGATTTATTAACTTAATAATCAAGAGCCTTAAAATATCATTCCTTTTTATTTATATGTACGTGTTTAGAGTTGAAGGTTTTTGATAGCATTGTAAGCTTGTGGCTTCTCTATTTCGAATTTATTTCCTTGTTACATGTTGCCTATATGCCAAAACTGAGGTGTTCGAAAATAGGTTATTTTTAATAGGATGGGCTCCCAGGCCTTGATGCTGGTTTTTGTACAATGTCCAACGTTTGAAACACCTTCCATAGTATCACTTTAAGACTATTTGTAAGTACTGACTGAGGCAGTTTAGAGAATTAGACTAGAACATTCTTTCTTTTTGTTTTGCTGCTTTAGACTTGAAACCCGAGTGACAGGCAGATCATCTGCTAAGAAGCAGTTTAAGGGAACAAAACTGAGCTATTACTTTATGTAGAGGAAACGTGAGTGGTTGCATGTACTGAAAGTATCCGATTAGCGTGTGAAGTTGGGAACACAGCAATCTTCTTTTGTAAATTCTAATTCTTTGTTTTTTCTCACCATGAATATGTAATACTGAACCACTTGTAGATTTGACTTTTTTTGTAATCTACTGCATTTAGGGAGTATTCTAATAAGCTAGTTGTTGAATACTTGAACAGTAGAATGTCCAGTAAGATCACTGTGTAGGTTTGCCATAGATTCCACTGCCCGCCTTAACAAGTGAGGAAATCAAAGTGCTATTACGATGTTTAAGATCAAAAGGCTTATAAACATAGTCATCTCGGTGGTTAACCATTGAGATCATGAAGATACCTTGTATTGTGATATTAGTGTTATATGAAAATGCATCTTTGATGTGTTGTTCCTGGCAATAAATCTTGAAAAGTAATATTTATTAAATTTTTTGTATGAAAACATGAAAGAGCGTGGAGATTATTGAGCAGGGAGGTGCTCCTGCCTGCCACACTGCTAGGGCAGGGGCAGCTTTGTGCTTCGAAGACCTGCCACCCGTTTCCATGCAGTAGGGTTTTGTTAGCTGATTCCATGTTCCCCCCCTGGTTCCCAGTCAGGTTGAAGGGGTTGGAAAGCAGCATGTCCCTTGTTCTCCATGTCTTTTGGCTAGTGGCCCTCTGTGTACTTCTAAGAATAGGAGGAGGAGGATGTGACTGGAATTGTGCAATCAGTTTACTTTGCATGAGCCAATGAGCTCCCACCAGATAGTAACCAAATGTACGTAGCTAGGCAGGATCCAAACTGCTGACCTGGATGGGAAAGGATCCACAGATGATACCGATTTCTAATGGGCAAGAAGTGCTTGTAAAGCATAAAATAAACTTTTAAACTATTCAACACAATGGCTTTTAGTGCTGAACCAGCGCTGCCCCTCCCACCTCAGAGGGGCCGTGTGTGCCGGTTTGCGTTTGCTCTCTGATGGGCTACTCCTATTTTAGCATATTTTCTTGATAAGGCTGCAGCAGTGTTTTACAGGAAGGTGCTAGTACAGAGCTGGAGGAACAATTTGCTGTGGGTAAGAAACTCAACTGAAACCCAAGCAGGGTTGGGTTGCTGTCTGTACTTGAGTTTAAACCAGTCACTGCAAGGTTATGCTGCTTCATACATATCTAGTAAAGTATCTCTATTTATGCACTGTGATAGGAATACAATGAACACTAAACAAGATGACAGCAAGGCATCTCTGCCTTGTAGTTTCTTTACAGCTGTCTTAAAACATCTGTTAAAATCTCTTTAGTGTTACTTCTTATTTCACACTCACTTTAACAGGAGATGTCAAACGCGCCACTATGCTGCCGTGACAGGGGACAGCTTTCCCTCCTCACAGTCACGTGCTGGAGAATCATCAGTTGGCTGCCTGCTGAATGGGAAGTCAACAACATTAGCTTCATCTGACCACTTCCACAATTCCTCGAACAAATCCCAGGGAGTATTTGTTTTCCTCTTTTTCCTTGACATGTTGCGTCCAAAAATGCCATTTAAAAGATAATAGAACCTTCCACCTGCCTCAGAAGTACACAGTGAATTCATTAACTAGATGCTTTCCTGTACTCAGTGTTGAATTAACCATCATCCTGGTGTCTACTGTTCATGTAGGTCCCCAATGACGCAGAAACCAACTACCTCTTCTAAATGACTGAAACATTTATACCTGAATTTATAGGAATAAATCTGTCTTCTATAAGGCTAATTAAAAAAAAAACAGGGCTTTTGCTAGTCCTGGGAGCTGGTATGTGACAGGCTACAGTGGAAACCTATGGAGGTGAATTCTCAATACAGACTTCATCATTTAACATAGTGCTAAATCTATTTAGGTCGCTGGAGGCTCCATGTAGAGCAAAACCTGGGCTCCTCCGGACTTGTCAAACCCTCAGTGCAGGATTCATTTATGTATTTCCAGCCTTTCCTGTGCTGTGAAGCACTGCACTGACTGTGCAGAGGTTTTGTTACAGTGGAGTTTCTCCATACAACTCATTTCCATTGCCACCTCCCAGTGTTATAAACCCACAACCACACAGGGGAAGGGAAGAGAATGCTGTGAAATTGCTGTAATATCTTTAAATTACATCCTCATATGTCAGTGGTAGCTTCAAATTTTACACTGGTGAATGAATGTAACCCCAAACCAGGCTTCCAAACCCTGGAACCACCACCAAGCTGGGCACTGGTGTATGAACTGTTTTCCACTGCCATGGAAATAGACACATGGAGCAGAAGGCCTTCCTGTTACAATACTAATTTTGTGTAACTTAAACTTTGCCAGTTCGCATCTTACTGCTCTGGGAAGATGCATTCTGTTTAGTCAGGAGAAGTTTCCTGCTGTTTGTGTTCTTTGGATACTTACTCATCTAAGAACTGGGAAAATGTGTGCTTCCTGAGCTGCCATTTAAACATGGGAGCTTTACAAAACAATAATGATGAAATTGCTCCCCTGAGCACCCTCAGCTTTGCTCTAGCTACAGCTAATGGAGCCTGTTGAATCTGGGTTTGGTTCAACTGGAGCTGAACACAGCCACATCAAAGCCTCTGCACCCCCGCACAGAGAGGGCCCATCTTAAGCCAAGGTAACTTGCAAAAGGTGCTGATGGTGCACCTTACATCAGCCTTGATGCCAATATACCCTTGTCACTCAGGGAAGAGCCCTGGGAACAGCTATTGCTGCATTGCTAATAGGAGCAAAGGACAGCCAGCAAGTGCTTGTGCACCTGAAGCCTAGCAAGTGAGAAACATCATAAACCAGGTACAGCCTAAACAGGAGACTAGATTCTTCAAGCAATTCTGCTGCTGAAGCCATTTGCCTTTCCACTGAAGACACAGAGCAGCAAAACCACCTGCATAGTAATGGTTAATATAATCAATCAGCCCTTTACCAAGCTAGGGAATGCAGGAGGTCACTCTCTGTATGGTTCAGCTTTGCCTCTGCAGCTATCAGGCTAAGGGGGCTCAGCTCTCCAGGGGCCTTCATCACCACCCCTGCCCTTGGCAGAGTCCCTCTGGAACAAGTCACAGGGCAGAGGCTCAATGCTTTTATTAGTGTATGCAAAGATGAGAAGTTCTGACAAGGGAAGTACCAGATTCAGCCTTTTCCTCCCCAGAAGATGGAAGTGATTGCGTAAGCTCTCCCCCTTCCCCTTTGAAATGGAGCAAGAATAGTTAAATACAAGATTTTTTTCAGCTTCCTCTTTTTCAGTATTGACACCAGTGGCTAATTCCAACTTCTGGGGGTGAGGAGGAAGAAAGCAGTGAAGGTTCTGTCTGTTCTGTTGGCCCCTGGCTGGAGGTTCAGGTTAGCACTGGAGCAATGCGGTATCAGACAGGGCACCAGACCCAAGCTCCAGCTCCAGCCCAGCTCTTCCAGCGAGCGCCTTCTCTGTGATGTGCAAATTGTCCCTACCAGTTTCTCTACAGGGTGGAGAATACATCTCTACTCTTTTCATTCTAGCCCCATGAGATCATATTAATATTAAAAAGGGGAATGCCCATCTCTAGAATTACAGCTCAAGACACTTTTCTTTCAAAGATCTGATGCACAAATTAAAACAGATAATTATTGTGGCAGCAAATGAAGCAGTTATGGAGCTGCATTAGCAATTCCTGCTGCTGGGGTTCTCGGTCTCCGCTACACTAAAGGATTTAACTGACAGAATGGGAGCAAATCAGTGAAATTCTCATTCAAAAAAGGTGCAGCATCAGCTCTCACAGGAACCAATTCCCAGCTCTGGAATTATTTATGTGGACAGTAAAGGAGATGGGATGGTGGAGATCAATTCCCTGGGCAATTTCCCAGGGGAATGCCCTGTGACACTACATCATCTTCACAACTCTTCAGTGATTTCTCAGCATCAGCCAACACCAAACAAACAAGAAGTCCCCATCTAAAAATGTCACATTATGGCTACCGTGGAAAGGGCAAGGTCATGTGCTGACAGATTCGATTTTAATTATCTGGGAAAAGAAAGGGGGAACAAGATGGGAGAACCATGTTCAAAAACACTTGAGTGAGTTGATGAAAGATCTGCAGCACAAGTTCCTTCCCCAGCTTACCTGGAAGGAACTGCTTACCCTCAGTGCTGCACAACTGTCAAAATAAGCATATTCATATCCCTCCCAGGTTCAGCTGCAGAATGCTTTGATATCCCTTTGATGAAAGGCTCCATGTGCTGCTGTTTCCCCAGCCAGCATCTTCTTCACATCGGGGTTTGGATGCTATTTAATGCTTATTAGAGAAGAAAAAAGCAGAAAGCAAAGAAGTGAGGAGTGCCTTTTATTAAAGCTAATTTCTGAGGCCAACCTACATATCCCACTGCTGGCTAAAAGCCTCTTGATACTATTAATTCTGTCTGCTCAAGCTTGCAATAGAGTGTTTTAACATAGCACGAAACCTTCTATTAGATACTGGTATAGGCAAGGAGATAACTACTCCTAACATGCAATCTGTGACAGTCTAACTATGTTTTACATCCTTCATATTCCAATTGCAAACAAGCCATCTTTTTCCTTGGAAAGTATACATATTCCAGTCAAAAGCCAATGAGATGGTAATATAAAAAGTCAATTCAGACCCAGGCAATGTGGCCCACATGCAGAATAGTGGGAAGGAAGTAAGTTCACACAGACAAAATAAACACCTTCAGAAGGCTACTTACTTAACACCTCACTCGTCACAACTTTGGGTTCTGAACGTTCTCCTTTTTGGTTAGAAACAGGTGCTTTTGAAGTCCTTCAAGTAAAGTGTAACCCAGAAATGGTGCTGTGCAATTGTACTAACATGCACGTTGGACCCTGGTGAGCAGAACTACAACCTGACTGATAACACTAGAGAGAGAGCAAAGCTTGTTACTCACAATTAACTCCTGTGATAGTTAAAACCTTCCGACCGATCAACACTGTCCAAGGGAGATTTTACATCAGCCTGCTTCCTCTTTATAAATAAATAGGTAAGGGCTGGTCCAGATTTTGATGTGTGATTGAAGATAGAATTTCACTGAACAAGTATTTTAACTACTCAGATGCACAGAACAATGGATAGTCTGCACACATTAGAAAGTGTCTCAGTAGGAAGGGACTGCTGCACTATCAGCAAACAGCACAGACCAAATTAACCAGATGATTCATTAAAAACCCAAAACAACAAGAGAGCTGGCTTGGAATAGACAGTTACTTCTCTTCAAGACAAACACGTATTTTTCGATGGTAGCTTCAGCCAGTGTCAGATCTCCACATATTGCAGAGCTCAAAGAAGCTCTGAAAATGAAGAAAAAAACCCAGCATATCAAACACAAGATTAAACAAAAACCCAAAGAAATGGTTTCTGTGCTTCAGTGGCAGTTTCAGAACAGAACAGAGCCTTAACTATCTTACACTTTTAAGAGAAAGGTACATGAATGCTGCTCAGAAGCAAATTGGTAATAGAAAGCCACAGCCAAGACCTGCAAACTAATTTCACTCCTGATCAGTTTCCAGCTTCTTTCCTCCTCCCCTCCCAGCCTGATTTCAGCATTTTCAGGTTTGTGGTTCAAAAGCACGCTCTGCCAGTCACCTGGGTGCAGGTGGATTGTCGACAATGCAAAGGGTGAGAAGACAACCTCGGGCTTCCAGTACAGCGAGAACATAAAGGCATGGTAACAACCCAGTCTGGATGTCACACATCACATAAAGCACCCATAAGGGTTGCAAATGGGAAACTTTTATAGTCCGGCTGCAGAGACAAAAAGAATGGTTTCGAGCAGTGACACCATCTAAAATCCAGAAATTATCATGAATTCAAAGCTTTTTCACTGAGTAATAGCATTTCTGAGGACCCAAGAGGCAACTTTAACATATAAATAAGCTCTAAATACACAGCTATAAAGAGCCTAGGAACCTAACAGGTCAGTAATTACAGCGAGAATGAGGCAACTGTGCACCTCTGAGAAGTCCCTTTGTATTTGTTCTGACTCTCTAGTCTCTTAACACCTTTAATGCATCTAGCTTAACATTTCTAACTGTTGCACCACAACTTGCCTCATAAGGGACTGTAGCAATAGGACAAGGAGTGATGAGTTCAAACTTAAACAGGGGAAGTTCGGGTTAGATATAAGGAAGAAGTTCTTTACTGCAAGGGTGGTGAGGCACTGGAATGGATTGCCCAAGGAAGTTGTGAATGCTCCATCCCTGTCAGTGTCAAGGCCAGGTTGGATGGAGTCTTGGGTGCCATGGCTTACTGCGAGGTGTCCCTGCGCATGGCAGGGGCATTGGGACTAGATGACCTTAATGCCCTTTCCAACCCAAACCATTCTATGATTGTAACTGTGTTAAAAGGAGGATGTTCCCGCACTACCAGCGAGGTGATTAAGTATCTAATAACAGTATGTGATGATACCAAACTCTATGTGGTTGCCCTTTGGTTTCTAATACTTGAGTTAAACGGATTAGGAGGAGAGGAAGAAGAAAGGAAGCATCAGAATCCCAAACTCTTCACAGTAATAATTAGGGGCATACTTGCTCAAGACCATCCACAGTGTTCAAAGATACAATCAGTGCATTCACCTGCTTGCAACATCAAGCGTAAGGTCTTTTTCTTAACCACAACAAAATAGAAGTAACTGATCTTACAAACTTAATCTGTGTCTGTTACTGCACAATCATACAAACCTCTCCTGTAGGTAAGTGTGACAACCAAGAGCATCATTACAAAGATCCAAGTAAAAGCAAAGGAGAAATAATGGTAATTTAAAGTTGCAGTCTGGAATATGTGCTTGTAGCATTTTTTATCAGTTAGTTTACTGTAAGAACTTAAAGAAGCCCCCCAGAAAATCTATGCTAAGACTTTAATATATACTATCAAGTTATTCTATTTTAAATAGAATCATAGAATGGTTAAGTTTACTCTTATTTTTCTGATAAATTCTTAATTAAATGTCCTTATATCTCAAAATTTTAAGTCCATCAAAAAGGTGCTTTTTACTCTCTTCCTGGCCCAGGATCTCAAGCCCATGGAAGAGACGACAGTAAACATACCTCAGGCTATACTTCCTCCAAACCAAGGTTCATTTGCAGCCTCAATTTTGCTGTTACTAAGTCCTTTCTGCAGAGTCTGAAGACTAGTAAGCAGGAGCAACCTGACTGCAAACCCTGTGAGACAAATCATGCAAACAGGCTGAAAGAAAGAAGTCTTCTGGAAGGTATGCAGAACCTTTTTCACTTACAGCAAAAGAAGAAAGTATTTACAGCAGAAAGATGCTGTTCCATTAGCAGTGTCTTGCTGTCAACTGCCGAGCTGCTAACTCTGTTAAGGACCTGCACTGCACTACCAACTCGAACGCTTGTGGATGTGAATATCCTTCTGAAACTAAATGAGGATATGTCAGTAGGATTGTTCAAAATTGCTTCACATAAAGTATCTGTGGTCACAATGATTTGAAGAGAATGATAAAACTGCTTATAATTTTATTCTAAATATATAAAAAGATAAGCATGAAATAAAAAGTTACATTTCCTTAGGTAATTCACATATATGCTACAAAAGCAGTATGAAAAAACACTGTGCAATTAAAAATTCTCTCTATCTTACAGTAACAACTAAGTCTGTTCACATATAAAGACCTCTTCCCAACAGCAAGGTCTGCATATGCAGGTGACTGCATATATAAAACAATATTCATTTCTCCAAAGGCTGAATGCACGATCACTTGTATCCACAGCCTGGGCTAAGAATAAACGTTCACATCAAAACTGCACAAACTGTTGTTATTTTGAAACCCCGCTGAAAATTACCAGCAACATTAAATCCTGGTTAAAGTTTTATCTGAAATGAGCTCAGTTTGTCCTACTTGTAAAGATCATGTGAATAAACCACGGCCTAATGCAGAGAGAAAGGAAGAATTAATTTTTACTAAAGCAGTGTCCTGAAACAAGCAAAACACTGAATCACTGCAGCTGCTAACAGATCACAAAAGTGGATTTAACTTTGGCTGTCATCAGCTGATATGACTTTTTAATAGTACTGAAACATAACACATCTAAAATTTTCCTTGGTAAATATTACTGTGTAAGAGATTTTTCTTTCTATAAATACTACCCTCATTCATACAATATTAATATTAATCCCTAAAGAATTACCTTCATTAGAATTATGACTAAGATACTCATTACCTACATTTTCTTTAACAGTTTTATCTCATTTTTACTGTGTATTTTGATTATTTTTTGTTTTGAATTGCTTTCTACTTTTTGCATATCCTTTCCAAACACAAGTTTGGCTGTCCACCCACATTGTCAAGGTAGCATTTCAGACTTTATGACTTTTTAAGCCTTCGGAGTTTTAACTTCCTGAGACCATTTTCAACTTCTTTTTTCCTTTTCTGGCTAAGCTTCTCTGAAGGCACAAGCTGCAGCTCTATACATGATGGTGGCATCACATCTTCAGGGGTTGTGCTTGGCTCATTTTGGCTTGTCTGTGCTATATTGTTCCCCACAGAAAGAGGCTGGGAGAGGTTTTTCCTTAGTGACTCCTCATCAGATGCAGCCTTTGTCATGTCTCGCTTAGAAAACAACCCGGAATTAAGTGGGGTCTTCTCCTCCAAGAATGGACCTAAACAACCATCATCACATTTACTCATCTCTGCATTGCTAGGAATTAAAGGAGTCCCTTCAGAGGATACTTTTCCAAAATGCTCTAGCTTTTCTTCTGGAGCACAGGTCTTTTGTTGAGCCTGTGTTTTGGTCACTTTTTGACTTCGCTTTGGACCTAGCAGTGCTGACTCAGAGCTACACGGAGGGTTCTCGCTCAGAAGACTCGACTTCAACCACTCCACAGAGTGAGGTTTTTTCTGGCTGCTAACACCATCTGTCTGTCTCTGATTAATATAATTTTCCAGCTCTAAAACAGGAAGCTCCAAGTTGCTCTCAATTGTATTTGTGCAGTCCTTTAGCAGTCCTGGACTCCTCCTGCATGTCACTTCAGATTGAGGGCTGAGAGAAGTCTGACAGTCGTTCTTCCTGTTCCCTGTCTGCGAGTCCACTGAGCCAAGGGACACCTTCTTGGAGTCCTTGCTGATCAGAGGTTTGCTTGTGCTACTTTGCTTCAGTTTTGTCCTTTTCACACTGCAATAAAAAGGAATTTTGTTCTTAAATTAATTTTCAGTCTTCCCTTCTTACAGCATCTGAAGCACCACTAGGACAACCCTCTTTCCAAACATGGAAAAATCTCCTGTATATCATCTTGACAAGCAGTAATGTTCGTCTAGTGTGGATAATATCAAGGGTTATCCATCTGATTTTCCACTGCACTAGGGGAACCCTATTTATTAATGACTAAGCCATGAAGGAGTTTGCATTCTATTCCAAGAGGCAGAACTAGATTCATTACAGATGTTAAAGGTCAACACAGCATAAGTATATTGAATTCCTTCCCAAACTGGCTAGATAAAATAGCATTTCATAAGTGCCTGAACAATTTCAAACCATTCCCATATATTCAGATGCATAATGTGTATCTAAAGAATACAGGGGGGCAGGCAGGGAGAGGCAGCATGTGCCTCTCTCTCTGTGAGAATTTCTAATCCCTATTTTAGAATGTTCCTCCGGAATTTTTCCCAGGCCATTTCAAAGCATTACTTTAAAGTTAACCACTACTCATCTAGTATCAAGCCCGTTCATCTGCAAGGACTTAGGTAATGCAAGTAGATGATATTCTAAAAGGAATTATATAGGAAAATGGGATCACAAGGGATCTGATGGAGTGTCAGCACATAAACACTCCTCAGGAGCGTGTTACCTGTGTATCTACATTTCTCACAGGCTGTAAGATTAACCTTATGCACAAGTCCTGAAGCTGTATTTTCAGTCTACAGATATTACTGCAGATTATCCCAGGCTGAGACCACGCTCTGCTGCTGCTGAACAGCATATCTAACTCTTCAGAAAGAGGGCTCTTGTGAACAGGCAAAGCTGGCATATCTCCAAATCTAATCTCATTTCTAAAGACAACACAGATGAGACAACATAGGTAAAAAGAAAAGCTGCCCGGGTTCACAGCAAATCCCTGATCCTATAGTTGATTTGGGGCTACTGGCAACTTGCACAGAAACAGCACCCTGATACAGCACAGGACCAGTGTAATGTTCAGCTGATCAATTAACCCTCCCCATCCACTACACCAGGGACACCCTTTAACTGTGAGCAAAGATCCAGACTAGTATCATGGTACAGTGCAGACTCTCACAATGAGCAAAAAATATATCTGCAAAGTGTTTTGCAGCAGATTCAAACACCACATATTTATTTTGGCTCAGGGCTTCATTCAAGGAAAAAAACACCCTGTTTTGATTCTGCCTAGCGCTATGTGAGATATCTATGTGGGTTGTAATAGCTTTTTTCATGCCATACAAAACAACAATGACCATTTTATGTGCTCATCCACACTGGAGTAAGTAGTCTCTTAGTAATCTGAAATAATATTTTGTAAAGGAGACTGTATTATCTGAAATTGCATTACATGGGCTAGATTCTATTTATCCAAATTTTACCAGACTATAAATTTAACACCTTAGAAAGAAGAGTGACATACATTTCTTTCAAGATGCCTTGCTTTATTTGTTCATTCAGACTAATCTCCACCTTCTTGTTCTCAGCAGATTCAGTAAAATATTCAGACGTCCCACTGGAAAGTTCTTCTTTCTGCTCCAAAAGAACACACAGGTTTAAAACATGACACACCAAGCTATGATTATTCAACATAAAGCTCCATTTCTAATACTAAGACTTACAGATGTTCTTTATTATTTTGATCTGAGCAGTCTAAGAGAATTATTTTTCATCTTTTAATATTGGGGCGTCTAGTAAGTTCCCTCCCCTGTCAGACTCCCAACAAACGTATTTCATATGCTAAATTGCCCCGCAAACAAACAAGACTGTAACATAAAGGATGTAGCTTTCCAAACCCTCTGAGGAAACTGTTGGCAAATATTTGACATCTTTGTGGCTCAAACTGTGACAAATGCCAGGAATCTCTCTTGCAGACAGGAGCATGTTTGTCAGCTTTTTTTCTGAAGAGACTGACTGGCGCAGTGGTCTATACACTTATTCTCAGAAGAATTCCCATGATTTTCCATACTTACAAAAAAATAGGCAGAGTTTATTTACACATTTCAGGAGGCAAGGGTTAAAACTTTTAATACTAACTTTCAAATGCTCACAGTTCGGAGTGGTTGGCTACTACAGGACAACAAGGGAATTCTTTCTGGTCTCAGCTAACAGCAGCACCATGGTTTTACATTAATATGAGATCGGGGCAAGAGGGAGGGAAGGAAAATGCTCTTTTTCTTCAAGCTGTGAGTGTTTCCTTTCACAATGAAACAATCTCAGTCAGAGCAGGGCCAGTTCCTGACTTCACTATTAAAAACTATATACTCAAAAAAAAAGTACTACTTCAGAGGCTACGGAGAGAAAAAAATGTGGCAACATCAGAGAAGGGGCTTTGTGCATCTCCTTTTCTTGATATCGCTTTTCTCCATCAGCCTGCACGATGCAACTTCTGACTGGAGCTCATCAAATGGAGGCAGTGCTTATTTATACCCTTGCTCCACACTGTGAAGCTGGCACATGAACCAGATGGTACAAAAGAAGTGAAGGAAGTAGAGAAAGACTGTGGAGGCACAAGACCAAAGCATGTACATGATCGCTGCCTGGAACACCTCTAAACCTGTCACTTCAAGGCACTGAAGCCCTGCCCATTTTTTCTCTGTATTTCAGTTTTAAAGGAGAGGGGATAAACCTCACTGCTCTTTCCAGAAGACTAAGCCAGTCAAAACAACTTCCTGTTTTCTAAGAAGAAAAAGGGTAGTCAGGCAATGAAATCAAGCTATTTTGACAGTTTCAGAAAGACCTTACAGCTGTTCTCAGCCATCCTTTCAGAGGCAAATTATGCAGACTTCTTTGTGTGTACTGATAGATGCAAGTTCTGTCCACTAATGGTGGAACATGTGCGTCTACAGCAGGCAGAAAACACATGGGACATACATACATACAGTGTGATTTCAACCTCAGAAATCAAGCCTAACTAGTTTATTCTGAGGGATTAATTGCTGCTTCTATTCTAGTTAGAGGTATGGGCTCCCCTAATTTGACTAAATAAATTTTCATCACACTCTTTCACACTCTTAACCGTAACAACCGTAGAAACTATTTGAATTTCCAGTAACATTCATACAACTCAGCCTGAAGGATCTTGCACAATCCTGCTGCTGCAAAGCAGCCGGAGAGCACTCTTACTTAGCCAGAGGACAGGAGAAGCATTTGAGTTTCTGCTTTATGATAACCAGTAAGGCTGATTCTATTAAATCTTCTTCAAGTCTCCACACAGCGGATCATGATAGGATTGCCTCTCCATTAAGGCAACTCTGGTAGATGTGGTAAGCAATGTGATGTACAAAATCCAGAGGGCTGGGGACAGTTCCTGTCCACAGGTACTCACTACTGCAGATAAGGAAGAAACCTCAGTTCTAACTTGCATCTGATTATGAACAGCGCATGATTGTTGCCTGGAGTGTACTGTCATGCCAGGGTGTCAAGAACAGACCCTGGAGAGAGGCAAAGATGACGAAGCTCTGTCACTTGTGAGTTGAGTCAGACTGGAGTTAATGGTCCAGAGTTGTAGGGTAACACATTCCCTCACTACACCATCATCAACCTTTTATTTTGGTTTCAAGTAACTTATCACATAAAGCAGTGACAGAAAAGGGTTAAGGCATTAAAAAAATTAAAAATCAAAATGATTTATATGTGAAACACTTCTGAACATGCCCTCTAAGTATAGTAGATTTTCCCCTCGGAACCACACCCTGTAAGTGCTGTATTTTGAGAGCTGAACAATTAACATAAGGCATATGAGTCAGTCTTTGAAAGACTCTGTGGGAACCAGAGAGCCTTTTGCTATTAGGAGTGATGTAAACTCCCTAAGGCTGGAATAAGTCCACAATAGAAGGCAGAGAGAGTCATAAATAACAACAATGGGCACCCCATATACTACTAAGACACTCAGCCATTATTGGTGATACTTCCTTTATTTTCTTTATTAGACTTAATAATTTTAGTTAATTAAAAAAAATAAAACAACACTGCCTGTTTTGAGAATACTATTTATTTCCTATGGGAACTTTGGGACTTGTCAAAGAAAGAAAAAAAAAGCTAATCTGCTCTCATCCTGTCTAGTAATCCCAAATTCCTTTTAGGCAGTGAAATAATTAAAGAAAAATATTCCAGGCATAAAAAGGAGGACAGCAGAAGCAGACATCATATAAACAATGACACCATGACAGAGAAAAACGTCAAAGCCCCGCCAGACTTGTGACTTGACTCTGAAAGAGCTGCGGGGAGGTGGGATTGCTGCTAACAAATTAAAACCACATTTCTTGGCAAATTGTTAAAGACAGACATATTTACATTTGTATAGAGACTGGGTGGGCACAAAAGATTAAAATGCTTCTTTAGCCCTTGAACTGCCAAGTCCTATTAGAAATATGTGCTCTTAAAATTCTAGGGTAAGCTTGCTTCTTTTTGTCACTAAAACTCAGCAAAGAAGCGCCTCCAGAAATGGAGGCTGTTACAAAGTCTTACTGCTCTACCTGCTCATAACACTGGCCTCTCAAAACCTGCTTTTAAGATCCTTAGTACTTATCCAAAGAGTTGTCTGGGAGAAAAGTAAAAACCTTTATTAAGACCTAGAGAAAAACTTTATTCTTTTACTATCTTACTCAACTTACTATCTCACTCAAAATGAAGAAGAAACCCTCAAAACGTAAAAGTGGTGACTGCCATCTGCAGCTCTCTCCAAGACAGCTGAATTCAGCAATACAGCATTAAATACCTGGAAAAGAATTACTCATGGATGTGGCACTTGTGAAGAAACCTTACAACTCCTTGTCATGAAGGATCATAGAACGGTTAGGAGAGGGAAAGTGTTGTCTTTCCACTAATACTCATGCAATACTGATTTTAATGTCTTTTTCAGTCTAATGTTTGGGATGCTGGGTTGAAAGAAAATTTTCCAAAGTGACCAATGCTGCCACCTCCCATTCAGTTCCATACTTTCTAGCTGTCTCTTGCTCTTCTCAGGGTAACGGTTGCACATGCTTCTGTACCAATAAAGTAACACTAACGGGTAATTAAATCTCATGTCTGGTTAACAAAAAAAAAAACAACCCAACAAAACACAACAAAACACACATTGTTTCTGAACTGCATTTATCAATGTGGCCCAACTTGCTCATCAAAAACACTTAATAGGAAACATCAGTGGGTCCAATAAATCAAATACAGTGTTGGAGTGGCATGTGGGAGGGAACTCTGAATATAATAATGTAGACAAAGCAATGAAATAAATTATTATCTCAGCACACACAAGCGAATAAAATTAGCACAATGAATCAGAGAGAAACACTTACTTAGAGGAACTTCATGTAAGCTTGCAATTGCATGGTTTCTTTTAATGTCACTCTGAGCTCCACCATCTAAGATAGCCTCTAAGTTTCAGAACAATTCTAAGAGATGACTGGCACATCAGAGAGGTCAGACAGGACTCTTTCCAATCTGATAAACAGAAAACAGCTCCTAAAGCAAGTGAGGAGCTTGGCAGGGAAGGACGAATCAGATACCATAAATCTAACTGATACAAAATTGACAGAGGCAGGACTTTGGGTTTAGTCTTTGTCCTCTCCCATCCCACATGAAGGAAAAGCTTCCCACAACTTCATGATGCAAATTTTTCTGCGTTTCCAGTGTAGTGATGCATCTGTCCTAGCAATTCTACTTATGAACTCCTACCACATCATAGAACATTCATAGATGTTTTCCAAGAACAGAAATACTGGATACTATTCTCACCCTGAAATACAGTTCTTTGATTGGACTTGCAGAATATTGCTCTACAGTTTAAAGTGGACTGTTCTGCTCTGTATGTCAGTACGTTCCAGTAAAAAGTATTAAGGATCATTCCATGTTACACATGGGAGTACTGATTTTTCATTCAAAATAGGTAATTTCAAGGAATACTGGTTGTTTAAAAGTACCATTCTTTTCAAGACTGAATTTTAAGAAATAACCAGAGAAAAATGCATCTTTATGGCAAGGAGCAAAACTGTACAACCTACCCATGGCCTAGAACAGAAAGGAATAGCTGCTGGATCAGAGTCTTCATTACCTAGTACCAAAATTCATTTTGATTTAACACCATGGATCTTAACAATTAAGTTTTTGCTTGTTAAGAGTCCCTATGATCTGTACTATTTAGTCCAAGAGTTGGCCCAATCTGTTAAAGCCTCTGAAATACACGTTCCACTTTCTCCTTTCTCAAACCACGAGGTGTGAACCCAGGTTTCTCACTCAATACATAAGTCTTGGCAATTCCAAACATTCCAAAGGTCCCCAGAGCATCATCAGATTAGCTTAAAGAATCTGACTTCTATGAGGAAAATGCTTGCTTTCAAAGTGTTTTGTTTGGAATTTAATTGGGAAATTCAGAGTTCTCTGGGTTTGCATTTGAACACTTGCTAGATAACAGAAAATGGGAAAATAAGCTGTAAATGGCAAAAACCAAATAACTTGTGGTACTGCATAGAAAAATTAAAGTTGCAGGGAGACCATTGTAAATACTGATACACGTCTGAAACGCAGATATCAAG